ATTCAAAGAAAGTTTCTTTCCTATTAATTAATTAGAGAAGAGTCTATGGGGAAAGGCAGTGAGAGGGAGAACTCTCCACATGCCATTAGGTCGTAAAATGTATTTGGTCTGGTAAAGGTGTCCTGGTTGCCATGGTAACCAGGGGCATGGGGCGTATTACAGAAAGATCCTAACTTTAAAATATTATCTTATCTGTTTGGTAACCATGGTTTTACATTTATTAATAACTGAAAATGAAGAACGTAGATGTTTAATGGTAGAAAGACTCTACCATTGACTAATGCCTTAGTTATGTTTTTTTGTTTTTGCAAAAGTGAAGTCGCTTCTATTATTTTGTTTACCTCATCAGCAGCTCGCACAGTGTTGGTTGTTTGGTAACAGCCCTGAGATTGGATTGTCGAACTTGATGCCATTTAAGATTTCCTAACTAGAGATAAGGTACGATTTTGTAAGATAGGATAATAATCCCAAATCAAGTTAAGATTTGCTTCTGTAATACGAATTTGCAAAAAATCCTAATTTAACATATCATATTTTAAGGTTAAGACCTAAGATAAGGAGATTTCTGTAATACGCCCCCTGGTGTTCATCTGGATAATGAATAAATATGTGTCTGATTAGTCCAAACGCTACAGTTTTAATGGTATTACTATGTAACTATAATTTATTACATTATTATTCTTTAGCTTGGGTTGAACAAATCAATGTTGCTTGGTTGGAACAGCAGCTACGCTAATTATGTCTCTATGTGTTTCTCTGTTTCTGCTGGGATTGACATCCCGTGGTAACTAGGATTTACACAAGCTTCAGTCTGGATCCAGAAGACCTGAGAAGAGATGATGCAACTCCTCAGAGGACCTCAGATGATGCCAATCCTGAAACAACATACAGAACTACCACATTTTACTATAAGTTTGATTGCATCATATAATAATTGCTGTTAATAGTGTTCATCGTCTGTTTGATTACGTCTTTAATTGATTGTTCCGTACATTTCTGCCATATGTACATCAGCCATAAGCTACTACTAAATATATTGTAGAAACTAATTTTTTTGTAAAGCTGCTTTGCAATGATTTGTATCGTGAAAAGCGCT